TGCTCTGTGCCACCAGGATGGACTTACCTGAAGCCATAGCCCAGGATGGTCTTCCCTCACTTAAGCTGTTTCTGTCAGTATTGGCCACAACAATGAAAATCGGCCACAGCAAGCAATCACACTGTGGTAGCTCCCGTGACGCTTCCTCTGTTAAGGAAAGAACCACACTTGCCGCTTCTCTCAAATACGCGTTGTCACTTCTTCCCCTGGTCTACATAAATGAGCACGTTAAATCCGGGAGATGGCTCAACAGAGAGAGTGCCTGCTGCATAGCATGAGGACCTGAGTTCAAGTCCCCAGCACCCACATAGAAGCTGGTGTGGCTGTGCATGGCTATAACCCCAGCACTGGGGTGAGGGCAGAGCCAGCCAGATCTCCGGAATTCATTAGCTAGCCAGAGCAGCTGAAGTAAATGAGCTACAGTTAAGTGAGAGACCCTGTCTCAAAAAGTGGTGAAGAATCAGGTAGGACCCTAGCAGACTACTCCCAGTCCCCATAAAGGTGTGTATGCACATGTGCACACGTTCACATGAACTTATACATCAGAGAGAGAGAGAGAGAGAGAGAGAGAGAGAGAGAGAGAGAGAGAGAGAGAGAGAGAGAGAGATTTAAAAATAAAATAAAATAAAGAAATGAAGAACTTGGTGTACTAGCTAGGCTTTCTCGCCCATCCATGTGAGAATGTAACAATAAGCCTGCTACAGACACTAAATAAAGTCACTGTAACCTCGTGTTTCCCAGCCTCCAGAAAGAGCAACTGAAAAACCGTAGTGAGCTAAGGAACAAACATGGCCACATCAACCTCATGTCTATGTGGGGCTGAGTTCACAGTGCATGAGGAAGTGCCAAAGCCAGTATTCGAGAAACACATTCCAGCCAAGGGTGAGCCTGGTGTTTTACAGGGGTTTGGGTCACTGTCGGGGGTAGAGCTAGGCCACCAGAAGCAAGGCCTGAAGTGCTCAGAGAGTGTGAAAGGGTAGACAAAGAGTGTGACTCAGAAGAACTGGGGCACAGGCAAAAACGGTGAATCAGGCAATGAAGCTGGACAGAAGTCAGTCAGGTCGACAGCAAGCTGTAGCAAAATGTCAACTCTTGCTGGAAGACCCACCCTAGGAGCTAGGAATCCTGGGAGAGCCACAGAATCTCAGCTGGGAGGGCTAACAGGTAAGAGAGCACTTCAGCACCCAGCCAGAGGCACTGTGTCTGGTGAGGCCATGTTCCAGGGGAACCCGCCTTCCTCAACATAGAGGGTGAGTAGTGGGCGTCACCTTCCAGAGCATCCGTGGCAAGAGAAGACCCCCTACCAGAAGGCTGTCTGCAATGGTGGATTCTGCTGATGAGAAGGGTTCAGACTCATTGTCTCTTAGGCCTTCAGAGTGGGAAACCTGGCGAGGGAGGAATCGGAGTTCCTGGACAAAGTGTGCCCTTATTGCCTTGAGTTGATACCCTTGGCCCTGCTGTGGGACCCTTAGCAAAATGCTTCATCTCTCACATTCAATGTCGTCACCTTCAAGATCAAAGTTCTGCAAGGGAAGATAACCTCCAAGACCTCCAGTATACTGCCTAGGCAGGCCATCAACGATGCTACAGTCGACATTTCCCAGCCAGACGCCGGCTCCGCCCACGTTCTCTCCAGACTCTGCGCACCTGGTGTCCAGCCAAGCTGAGTAAAGGGAGCGAGTCTGGTCTCTCTCCGACAGTGGGGCAGCCTGTTCGTGGAGGTGCAGAGTCATATATGGCGGGCTATTGTGTACACAGTAGATAGCACACAGGCTATCAACAGGGCTACTGTTGTCTTAGCAACAACAGGGGCCTAGTCTTTCTTGGTAAATACGCTAGATAGAACCAGCACGTGTACTAATTCTAGCACTGTCAGCTTATGGCCTTGAACTTTCTGGGCCTCCGTGTATTATTGAGTAGCATGAAATTGACACCACCCAGTTGTTAGCCGACAGAAACAATTTAATATGATTCAATGTGGTAGGAAAGTGAATTAACACAATCAATGATTCTATTTTATTTGTTTGTGCATTTGTTTTTCAAGAGAAGGTCTCTCTGAGTAACCCTGGTTGTCCTGAAATTTGCTCTGTAAACCAGGCTGGCCTCAAAGTCACAGAGATCTGCCTGACTATGCCTCCTGCATGCTGGGATTGAAGGTGTATGCCACCACCACCTGGCCCTTTTGTGTGTGTGTGTGTGTGTGTGTGTGTGTGTGTGTGTGTGTGTGTGTGTGTGTGTGTGATTTTAGTACAAAACCTTAGATATGTTTCATTTCTTATTTTATTTTTAATGAATATGTATTGATTATTTAAATTGTGTCAGGCTACAACCTAGGTTCTCATACGCAGTGGTCAACAAAACAGTCCTCGGAGCTGTATTTGTACATTCTGTGCTAGGACCATGAAATACCCGAGGCAGTCTAGCCTTATGAAGTAAAGATACATGAGCATAACGAACAGTTTTGGAGGTTGAACATCCGAACATTAGTGTGCAGGCTCTGGGGAGGGCCCCTTTTGACATTGGCCAGACTGACATGGGGGCCGACCTGCAATCTCACTGCTCTACAGGCAGAGTCAGAGGAGCCCAAGGGCAAGCTTGTCAGCCAGACTAGTCAAATTAGTTAATTCTGGGTTCAGTGAGAGACACTGCCTCAGTTAATAAAGCAGACAATGACTAAGAAAGATAGCAGATATAAACCTCTGGCTTCCACACACACATACACACATGCACACCTGAACCTAATGACATGCACGTATGCGATATGCATACACATGCAAAACAAAAAAGGACTTCCCCATAGGTCCCACTTCTCAGAGTTTTCATGGTAACCTCTATATACTACCACCCTGGGGACCAGCTTTCCAATGCCTGAACTTTGGGGACAAAACACCCTTGAGTTCCAGCAAGTGCAAATCCCAGAGAGCTTCCCACACAACAGAACAGGGCTCCCGCCTCCAATACAACAGAACTGGGCTCCCGCCTCCAGTGCAAAAGAACAGGGCTCCAGACTCCCATACAACAGAACAGGGCTCCAGACTCCCATTCAACCGAACAGGGCTCCAGACTCCCATTCAATAGAACAGGGCTCCAGACTCCCATTCAACAGAACAGGGCTCCAGCCTCCCATACAACAGAACAGGGCTCCAGCCTCCCATTCAACAGAACAGGGCTCCAGACTCCCATTCAATAGAACAGGGCTCCAGCCTCCCATACAACAGAACAGGGCTTCAGCTTCCCATACAACAGAACAGGGCTCCAGCCTCCCATACAACAGAACAGGGCTTCATCGAACATCACACAGGCTACTTCTAAGTCTAGGCACTGAAACACTTCTAAACCAAGTGAGAGGGTTCTTCTCCTGTCTGAGAAGACTGTTAGACTTCATTCTATCTGTAATGGAAAGATGGCTAGTACACATCTCAGTGATGCTGAGAATGAGCTGGTAATCACACAGACATACCCACTCCAAGGCTGAGCTGAGGGATGCTTGAGAAAATGAAGATTGGGAGCTGTTATGCTTTATTTACAATGTGGTCAACCAGTCAAATATGAGGAAGAATTGCTACATTACTTTTATGATATGAAAATGTTAAGCAGAAACATAGCTTTTATGTTGACAGATTGGACATACTGTCAGGATCATCCACAGGGGTGTTGGTTCTGATAAAAACCCAATGAAAAGAGTCTATCGAGTCATTTGTTGATAACATCTTGTAAAACCTCACTAATAACACAGGAATGGCCAGTTTTATTACAGCCAAGTTTTCCTACTTCAGACTTTCATAGTTGTCTGCAATGACATGAAGATTGGGCAAGTCTAGATTTCATAGGCTGAATCAGAAGAGAGTCAGGGCCTCAGCTCCTTTTTACCTATGAAATTAACCACTTCATTTAATTTGCTCACTCCATGCTTAACTGAGAGAAGTTATAGGTCACTCATAGAAAGACGATGGTATCAACTCCAAATGAGAAGGAGTATCTCTGGACTATAGGGGAAAATCTCATTTACGAAATAGCTCATAAATTTCAATCTTCTTTCTGAAATATATGATGATTCCATCAGATCTCACAAATGTGATTGAGTTTGTTAAGCCAGGCTGGGTCACAGGGTGCTAGTGACCCCATCTTTGAACAGAAAATGTAAATTGAACATTTGAACTCAAAGTTTATTTGTAATCAGAACAGAACAAGTTTCTTTCTTTGAAACTAATTGAATATCTGAGCACAATAGGCACAGGGCTGTCTTCTGTTGTTAATGAGATCACCACAATATCTCGTGTTACCGAGTATGTTTGAATGTTTTTTTCTCCCACGAAATAAGCACATAATGAGATTGTTAAGGACTCAATACATTGACAGCATCTATACTAAACAGAGGCAGAAGGGTGCCTATAGCTCAAGGCCAGAGAAACTCAAAGGGAAATATCTCGTTTTAAGAAAAAAATTCTTTTCTTAAAATCTGGATGTCTCCACAGCAAGATTTGGATGTTTACTCTTTTGGTGTCCTGACTACGTTGCCCAGGCCCAAGGCCTGGCAGAGGGTGGCATAAGATGGCTCTAGTAATCGTGCCCTTGAGTCTGATCCCAGGTGCCCTTCAATACATATGTGATGTGGTTAAACCTCATGGTCAACTTGTCTGGGTTTTTAATCACCTGGGAGATCATGAGGCCGAGTGTCCCTGAGTGTAATTCCAGAGAGAACCACTGGTGTCAGGGACATCATCTGTGGGTTGGGGAAAGAGGAAAGCAGAGAGGTTTTTCTCCCACAGGCTACTGCCTCCCTAGCGTCTGCCCGCACGCTTGGTCCACAACAACCTGAACCTTAAAACTGAGCAAAAACAAATCCTTCTTTGAAGCTGTTTCTACCAGGTATTTGGCTACTGTAATAGCAAAAATAACTAACACACGCCCTCATTGGGTCTCACTGGCTGTAGCTACTGTGTCAAGGGGTTTGAGAACATCTTTAATCATTGACATTGGCCACCTTGCAGTTGAGGAAGATGTCGAGATCTCCCAATCTGACCACTGAGAGTAGGGGAACAACAGAGTCTGTTAGCAAGGACTACAAGATGAGGCATGTCGCGGAGGAACCAGGAGGAGAGGTCAGTGGCAAAATAAGTTAAGAGGAAAAGCAATGCTTGAATGAGTCACAAGTGGACCCAATTCTGCCCTGCCTTGGATTTCCCATAATGCAGCATCTCTGGATTATGATTACACTCCATCCCCAGCTGGCTCACAGTGTTTTCTGACTGCACAGATCAAATACAACCCAAGTCAGCCACAACTGGCAGCTGAACCAGAAGAAGTAACCCTTAGGTCACTGTCGATTTGCCTTTGCGCATGTGCATAGTGCAAGTGCTTGCACACACACACACACAGATGAAAAATAAGAATATTTTTACAAAGCCTCCTCCACATTTTTCTGTAGTTTGAATTTAAACTTTTTTATGAGGATGTGATTAAGTTTTATGAGAATGTGTTCATAAAATATTGGGCAATGCAGCTACAAACCCTTCTGGAATGTTTGGTGAGACACTGTGGACACTGTCCTCGACCCACCCACCATTTGTTCTCCTCCAGCTCACCACTTACTGTCTGAGATGTCTGACTCCACACTGACCGAGGCTCCCTGAACGTCCTCTGTCTCTGTGTCTGAGCATGGCAAAGGTCTCACACTAGCCTCTGTCTGTAATGTACCACGAGATGGGATAAGAAAAGTCCAGACTGGAGAGAATGGAGCAGTCAGACGCCTACTCAGAGCAAATCTCCTTCTGTCAGGAGGATTTGCATTTCTTAAAATTGATTTGCCGGTTTATTGCCGGTGAGCTGGGGTTCTGCAAATCAGACAGACAAAGGTGCCTGCCTTGCAAAGCTGGGTAGGCAGTCCTGGACTGGAGTGTGAGCAGTACAAAACAGAAAGTATCAGGAAGCAGTGGGTGAAATCATTTTTGCATCATTCATGGAGATAAGGCTACTCTGAAATCTGATTTATATTTGTGTCTCCCAAACAAAACAAAACAGGAGGGTTTTTTGTTTGTTTGTTTGAAGCAGAATTAATTAATTAATTATCTATTTATTTACAGGGGCACAATTCATTTGCTTTGAATACAGACTACTGGTCAAGACACTGACTGCTGGGTCAAATACCATATGTTTACATTGTAAGACTACAGTGTAATCACAGAAATAAAGAATTCTATGCAATTAACAATATGTTCAGTTAGAGCAGTGGTTCTCAACTTGTGGGTCATGACCCTTTTGGGGTCAAATGACCCTTTCACAGGGTTCACCTAGAACCATCAGAAAACACAGGTATTTACATTATGCTTCATAATAGCAGTAAAATTACAGTTATGAAGTAGCAATGAAAATAATTTTATGGTTGGGGTCATCACAGCATGAGGAGCTGTATTAAAGGGTCGCAGCATTAGGAAGGCTGAGAACCACTAAATTAGAGGAACACTCAGTGAGAACTCATATCAAGGACAGAAATACACCAGCATGAAATAGACACATGGAGGGAGACAATATTGAGATGCTGATCTAGGAAGGCTCCTCCACTTTCTTGTGAAAGTTAATAGTTAACCAGGGTGGCACCCCACCTTTCTGCTATCTGTGATTGCTTAGTAAATGGTGAGCAATTCATTCTATAAATGGTTCAGTTCTTCTGAGATAGTTTTAATGCAATCTTTACAGACTTCTATTTTAAACCAAACAACAACAAAATCCACTTCAGGGACAGGAGCTGATCCAAACAGATGTAACTAAGAACTTGGACCCAACCCAGGTAGGCTACCAGGCTGCTGAGCTCTGGACAGAGTGTGTGCAAGGGCTCTGTATGTTCCTAAGCTGACTGCATAGGTTGCATACACTGCATGGGTTGTAGGGGAGGAAGCTCCTTTCTAAAGACCATTTTAAAAGAAACTGCTTCTGTGTCAGCCTTCTTTTTCTTTCTTTCTTTCTTTCTTTCTTTCTTTCTTTCTTTCTTTCTTTCTTTCTTTCTTTCTTTCTTTCTTTCTTTCTTTCTTTCTTTCTTTCTTTCTGAAACATTCTATGTGGAGAGAGGCTCCTTAAGACTTAGGAAGTAAGCTGACCTTACCATATACTAATCTTTCCAGGCTCAGGAGGAACAACTTGCAAGGCTCAGAGAGTTCCTGAAACTCAGAATATTCACAAGACTCATCTCTCCCCAAGGTTATATAAGCAATAATACTGCTAAAGAGAGGAGACTCTGACCAGTTAAGTTGCCTGAAAGTTGAAAGAACAACTTAAGGATGTGGTTCTCTCTAACCAGGATTGTTGATTTGTGTTGGCAAATGGAATGAAAGGAACCCATCCTTTTATCATGTCTCTAAGGCTTTCCAACTAACCATCAATCAATATAATGCAAATTAAAGAATGATACAACATTTTAGACCTGCTGCCAAAAACTGACAAGGATTACTGATTTGTAGTGTTGGTAAATGGGATGAAAGCAGCCAGTCCTACACAGGATGGAGGAACCTACATGTGTATAAACTCCTCTGGGGGCATTTTAACAGTACTTAGCAACTCATCTTGGTCCACAGTTTCAGAGGGCTCAGATCATGGTTTCTTGGCCTGTGCTCTTGGGCATAGCACTATGGTGGAAGGATGGTGTGCCAAAGAATTCTGTCTTGCCAGAATGGCCATTACTGTACCTCCTAGAGTTTGCAGCTTGGTAAAACTGTTATTCCCCAGGCAGCACAGAAAGGGACCAGAAGCAGGACACCATCACCAATTCCAGCTGTGTTTCCTCCAGCTGTGTTCTTCTAAAGTTTCCATAATATCCCAAATTAGTACTGCTGGAAGGGGTGTAGGAGGGCAAATGTTTGACACTTAAGCCTGCAGGGGAAATTTCATATTCCAACCATCACAGGGTGTGCTAGCAATCAAAAAACAACAACCAATAAACACGTCTTTAAGGCTTTCAAACTCACCATCAATCAATGTAATGCAAATTAAAGAATGACACTGCTTTTAGACCTGCTGCCAAAAACTGACAAGGATTGCTGATCCGTAGTGTTGGCAAGTGGGATGAAAAGGCCAATCCCACACAGGACAAGGAACCTACATGTGTCTGAACTTCCCCTCGGGCACTTTGACAGTACCTATCAAAGCCTTCAATATGTTTACAGTCTTTGAAGTAAGAACATTTTCAGAATTTTATCCGAAGGAAATAATTAGAGGAGCATGAACCATTTTTATGTGCCAGGGCCGTCTCTGCTGAGTTATTTGTAACATTAAAAGGGGGGAAATGGAATCATTAACTGTATAACATTAGGAATCTAGTTAAATAAATGAGTGTGTTCACAGACAGAAGGCGGTGTCAAACAGAAATTGTGTCTGCAGAGGCTGTGTAGCAAGTGGAGGATGCTTACATTGTGCTGAGTGTAAGGACACTAGTTGTGGGATAGAGAAGACAAAACAGGCTCCTGAGTCAACAGGGTTTAGATCCCAGGCTTCTCACTGGTTGGCCTGGAAAATTACTTGACCTCAGTTTCTTCATCTATAAAATGGGAAGAATGCATACTTTGCAGGATTGTGTTAAGGCTCAATTAGAACAAGGCATCTAGGACTGGTGTGTGTGTCGGAAGGTAGCTCAGTGGTAGAACACTCACCCAATATTCAGGAGGCTCTGGGTTCCATTCCCAGAAGTAGTGTTTGGGAAGGGAAGAAAATACATATAGAGTGCCTTGCTTGGCACACAGTGAACATGCATTAACAAGACTTAAATAAAGTCACCCAAATATCATCAGCATTTGACATCTTAATGTATGGTTAATGTACATTGTCAACAGAGATCTGGAATCATCTAGGAGACAAGCCTTCAGGCACACCAGTGAGGGAATTTTTAGCCTCTGTCTATGTCTGAGGAATTATGTTAATGAGGTTAGTGGAGTTGGGAAAGCTCACACTAAAACTGAATGGCACCACTTCCCTGGACTTGGGCCCTGGGCTGTATTTTAAAAAGAGAGAAAGAGTGAGCTGAGCACCAGCACTCATCTCTGCTTCCTGACTGCGGATGTCATGTGACCAGCTCCGCCATCTTGACTGCCTCACTGTGATAGATTCATATAATCAACCATTTCTCCCTTAAGTTGCTTTTGTCAGGCTATTTGTGGCAGGAAAAGAAACCAAGACACTTAGGTATTATATGCAAATGAACTCACACTAACGTCAATATTGTTTTGTTATTGTTCCCATCTGAATCTGCTCATAGAACTCTAATCTACTTTGTCACATACTCTCTCCTCCAAACATCCCAGGAAGCCCCTCAATACACTTCAATTAGTTTCATTAATTTTCATCATTCAGCTCCAACCACCTCGTTTCTTTCAGATTTTCACTATATCTCACTCACTTGCCCAGGTGTGTAAGAGACTATCAAATGTCCATTATCGATTGAACATCTGTGTGCTACCCAAATACACATTGGTGGATTGGAGTCCATGCTTCCTTGGGGTTTATAATGTGCTGCAAGGAAATAAACATTTGCAAATGAATATCAGATGTCAGGTGATGCAAGTTTCTCTGCTTTCATTTAACCTTGGAGATTAAAACCAGCTGATGGGCTGCTATGTGGCTGTGGGAGGGAGGGGCCTGTCCCTGTGGGATGAACCATGGAAAGGAAGACGAAGACACAGTTTCTCAGCAGCCTTTCTTTTGGCCTGCTCAGTGTCTCTTCTAATAGAACAACTAAGCTGACCAGCTACCTACTGGCAAGGTGACAAGGGCTTTCGGCTCTCAATATTCCATGGAATTTCCCAGGTCTCAACTGAACTGATGTCCTTGCAACTTGTTATCCTGTGCAGAAAATGAACCCCACGATGAGCTAGAGTGTTCCGAGGCTTGTCCTCTTCGTTTCTCAGGTGTGGTTGATCATAGCTGAATGTCAAGGGCAAATGTAAGGTCAACTGAGGCCACGCCTCCCAGTGTGCTCACGAAGTTTTAGAAGGAAACTTTTAGATCATTGCACCAACTCCGACTTGCTGAAGATGGTCACAAGGATGGGTGAGGAGTAACATCTCAAAACTGGAGTTGTAATCTTGTGGTAGGAATTGTAACACAGATTGGACATTTGAAATGATACTAGGAAGCAAGAAGCTCATTGTCTAATACAGAAAAAGGAAGAAGAGAGAATTGGCTCAGCTGAGCCTGGGGATAATGACATGAACGTGACCTCACATCTAACCCATTTTCCTATGCTCGGCAATGAGATCTTTAAACCAAATAACTCATAATTTGTGCAAAACTATACATTTCCATCCACATTAAATCTAGAAGCATGAAGGCTTTTGAGCATGCTGTTTGAAGGTGTTTCTGATTTCTTTGCATTCTTCCACATCCTCATTCTCTCTGATGACCCACCATTGGCTGCCCCTTTATTGTACATTCCTCGTTTCCATTTTTCTGGTCATTCCTCTTCTTTCCCCAGTAGCTCTGAGTCCTGTTTTCTCCTTACTTTCAACCCCCTGCAGCCCGGGGGAGCATGTGCTTCAAGAGATTGGAGACTGGTGAGCACTGGACCTCAGCTATCACAGAGGATCACTCAGTATTTCCACCAATAAATGTACGGCCACGAAACAGGTAGAAGCTCGTACTGGTGATTCTACTGGAGTCTCATGCAAGCCAAACTGGAACCCAGAATTGGAGTTATAACTATTGAGTTATAAAGTACTATAAATTGAAACATTATCATCTTAATTCAGCTTAGAGCAGAATGATTTCTGTCTCTTAAAAACAAAGGAAGTGCAACCTATTAAAGTGGTATAATAAGCACATATACCTTAACCCTAACCCTAACCTCTGTGTTAGTCAGAGTCCTCTAGAGAAGTGTTTCTCAACCTTCCTAATGCTGCAACCTTTTAATACAACGTGGTGACCCCCAACCATTAAATTATTTTATTGTGACTTCATAACTGTAAGTTTGCTACTGTTCTGAATCATAATGCAAATGTCTGATACGCAGGGGATCTAATGTTTGACTCCCAAAGGGGTCATGACCCACAGGTTGAGAACCACTGCTCTAGAGAAACAGAACTCATAGAGTGAACATATATCCCAAGGGAGACTTATTGGATAGGCTCACATATTATGAGCTAGGAGTCCAACAGTAGCTGTCTATGCACAGAGAGGCTACGAACCCAGCAGCCGCTTAGTCCATGAGGCTGGAGGCTGGAGAGGCTGGACTCCAGCATCGGTGAAGCATGGCAGTGGAGGCATTCTCTAAAAGTACTTATTGAAGATATTCAGACCCTACTGTATCACTCTCACATTGTTTAAAAACCTGCCTAGATTTGGCAGGCTTTTTCAGGCTGAGAGCTGGTGAGCACAGGCTGGCAATCTTCCTGTTTTAGCCAGGAGACGGGATTACAGGCATGTATTACCACAGCCAGAGAATGACCCGATTTGCCTTCCTCTGCCTCCACCTCTCATGTGCTGGGATTAAAGTGTCTTGATATGTGAGGACATGGATAGCCTGGGGCTATTGTAGACTAGGTTGGCCTTGAACTTCTCAGCAACCCTCCAGCCAGTCCTCCCAAGTGCTGGAATTAGTGTCACGTGCCACTGGGCCTGGGCCTAGACCAGATCTTTGCTTCTTCTACAGTCCTGTTATCCACCATGCTGTGATCTGTCAGACACACGGTTGGAATCGAAGCCTCTTAAAACGGCAGATGATTTGGACTTCGAGACAGGAGATGCAGGGGCCTCAGCCACCTTCCCAATGCAGTGCTCAGCATTACGTAAGAATGGTTTTGTGGTGCTCGAAGGCCGGCCATGTAAGATCGTCGAGATGTCTACTTCGAAGACTGGCAAGCATGGCCATGCCAAAGTCCACCTGGTTGGTATTGACATTTTTACTGGGAAGAAATATGAAGATATCTGCCCGTCAACTCATAATATGGATGTCCCCAACATTAAAAGGAATGATTTCCAGCTGATTGGCATCCAGGATGGGTACCTATCCCTGCTCCAGGACAGTGGGGAGGTACGAGAGGACCTTCGTCTGCCTGAGGGAGACCTTGGCAAGGAGATTGAGCAGAAGTATGACTGTGGAGAAGAGATCCTGATCATGGTGCTGTCTGCCATGACAGAGGAGGCAGCTGCTTCAGTCAAGGCCATGGCAGAACAACTGGCTCTCAAGGTGGCAGTGGTGGCAGCAGCAATCCTTGAGCCTACAGGGGCCCCTCCCCCAGCTGGGTTCCACTCTGGCTGGGCCCTTGGCTGGACTCCTATACAATTTATTTGACGTTTTATTTTGGTTTTCCTCACCCCTTCAAACTGTCGGGGAGACCCTGCCCTTCACCTAGCTCCCTTGGCCAGGAATGAGGGAGCCAGCCATGGCCTTGGTGAAGCTACTACCTGCCTCTTCCCTCCCAGCCCTGGTGGGGGAAGGGAATTGGGTATTGCTTGTGGTTTAGGTCCCCCACCGCTCCTTTTTTTTCTTTTTAATTCAATTTGGAATCAGAAAGCTGTGGATTCTGGCAAATGGTCTTGTGCCCTTTATCCCACTTTCCCTGTCTGGTCCCCTGTTCTCCATAGTCCTTCACCCCCCAAGCACCACTTGTACAAACTGGGGACCAGTCCCCTTCCCTGCCTGTGTCTCTTCCCCAAGCCCCTTTAGTGGTGGTGAGAAGGGCAGGGGGGGAGCAGACACGATCCCTCCTCAGGCATCTGGGAGGGCTTTGCCCCCATGGGCTTCACCCTTTCCTGCGGCTCTCTCCCTGACACATTTGTTAAAAATCAAACCTGAATAAAACTACAAGGTTTATATGAAGCGCCCCCCCCAAAAAAAAAAACTGACTAGATTTACTGAAGAGGTTAAAGACTTTTTTTTTTATTTTACTCTATATGTGTGTTTATATATGGGTGCTTGAATATCTGTGTGGGCACCATGCATGCAGGTGAGCATGAAAGCCTGAAGAGGGCATTGGATCCCATGTAACTGGGGTTATAGACAGTGAGCTGACCAATGTAGGTGCTCAGAACCAAACTCAGGCCCTCTATGAGAACAGCAAGCACTCTTAACCTCTGAGCCATCTCACCAGTCTCCAAAGAAGTTAATATCATGGGACTGGGGATATAGGTTTCAGCAGAGGAATTGCCTAGCCTTCACAAGGCTCTGGTTTCAATCCTCAGCACTGAGAAGAGGAAGGAGGAGGATGGGTTGGGTGTGAGTGAAGTGAGTGGATTCTGGGATTGAGGCAGATGTGAATGAGTGAGGTTCTAGAATTGAGAAGACCCCCAAAATGACCAGAGAACCCCTAAGAAAGAAAAGAGGTCTCTGAATTACATACAATTGGGTAAAGATTTGTCAAAATTCAGCTTATGCATTTTTTTTGTACATTATCACATATTAAGTAATAGAATAGACACAGAAGAAGGCCCTCGAGCACTAAGACTCAAAATGTGCTGTGTGGCATGACTGAAATCACCTGGCATTTGGGATAAAGAGAGACAGCATTTTCACGGTTGGTCTAACTACTAGGTGGGATGGCAAGTCCCACCCTAGAGTCTCTTCAGGACCTCTGGAGTTACAGACAACAGGGACATAAAGAGTCCTTCAAAAAATGTGGACCTTTCCACTTACTCACTTTTATCCTTTTTTTAAAATGTAATCAAGCATACTTAGAACCATTGTGAGAGATCCCTACCTGGCTTTAGAGGGAACCACAGTTCACAGAGGTCAATAAATGATTAAGTGCTTTTTCTCTAAGATACAATCGAGGCATAGGGCTTGTATTTTGTCACAGCTGTGGAACTCCCAAGTCTGAAAGTTTGATTCGGAGCTGAACAACATGGGTGATCCTGTTCCTCTTTGTTTCCAGGGCAGCAGCATGGCCATCCCCTAGGCAGTGGTGACAAGCACAAGATTCTGGTACCCTCAGCAGATCTGCCAGGCTGGCATCTAGGGGCATTTGAGTCAGCAGTGTGGATTTGAGCAAGACTCCAGAGGGTCTGTTGAGTCACACTGAGAGCTGCTGTCCAAGAAGCGTTCTGTGTTTTCAACAGCTCGGCAGTACAGCAGCAGCAAGCATCCTCATCATGAGACTGTTGTCGTTAAGGCTTCCAGAGTTCATTGACATTTCTCCACTTTCTAGAAAATAAAAATAAAAAGAGAGATTCGGTCCTTTATAAAGCATAAGAAAGTCTCGCTCTGGACTGGCCTTAGTTTGCTGATTGCTCATTGGGTACTGGCCGGTGGTCCTTATTCTACAGCTCTACACACTGGTGCTGGGAGGTGAATCCCTGCATAATGGCTGCTGGGGGCTGAGCTTCCCTGCCTTCCACTGCCTGATACAGGGGTGTCTATCTGTCCTTACTTCCAGCCTCATGTCCACAGAGCAAGCTGTTGTCCTGGGAATGTTCTCCGTTTGCCCCTTAGAGGTAGGGCAAAAGTAGAGACTAACAATAATGTCCCCACTGGGTATTTCTCAAATTATGACTCCTGGTCTCTTAAGCCAAGTGTCTCTGAGCTATTTGCCAAAATGCAGATCTCCTGGTCTCCCCTCAAAAAAAAAAAAAAAAATAGGACACAAAATCAGATGTAGCTAGAGTTTTCCTGCCTTGCCCACAGTCAGGACAAATCTTTGTCACCCGCCAGTCCCACAGCCGCTCAGACCCGACCAAGTAAACACAGAGACTTATATTGCTTACAAACTGTATGGCCGTGGCAGGCTTCTTGCTAACTGTTCTTACAGCTTAAATTAATCCATTTCCATAAATCTATACCTTGCCACATGGCTCATGGCTTACCGGCATCTTCACATGCAGCTTGTCATGGTGGCGACTGGCAGTGTCTTCCACACCCAGCTTCCTGTTCTCTCAATTCTCCTCTCTGTTAGTCCCGCCTATACTTCCTGCCTGGCCACTGACCAATCAGTGATTTATTCATTGACCAATCAGCAGCACATTTGACATACAGACCATCCCACAGCAATCAGATCTTCCCAGACTGGGCCATTACACTCTTCATGTTGATAAACATCTTCTATATGTCTTACAAAGAAATATTTGATCTCCAATGATCCATACCCCTGGCTTGACTTCTCATTCAGGTTTTTTGTTGTTGTTTTGTTTTATTTGGTTTGGTTTGGTTTCTGGGTTTTTTGTTTGTTTGTTTTGTACATCATCTACCTTTATTCATCAGAACTAGAGCTATAGAAAGAATAGAAACTTGGAAACAAATTAAGACAAATATGGCTTCAAGTCTCAACTGTGGAGGGATCAAAGGCTAAGACTTTTGGAAAGTGTTTGAATTTACTTGAAACTCAATTTTCTCACCTGTAAATCCAGTGAGTAAAAACCCAGACTGTAGGGGCCTTGGGGAGGGTAAATGAGAAACTGAGCGAACCATCAGACATGTGGAGAGCTGTTAGAGATTCGTTCCATGGGCTGGAGAGGTGACTCCACAGATAAGGGCACTGACTGCTCTTCCAGAGGACTGGGTTCAATTCCCAGCGCCCACATGACAACTCTGGACTGTCCTGTGACTCCAGTTTGTCGGGTAGGGGATCTAGTGCCCTCTCTGGCATCTGTGCACACAAGGCATATGTGTGGTGTACAGACATACATATGGGCAAAACACCCATATTAAATGAATTTTTAAAAATCTAAACAAGAGATTCTTTTCCAAACATTTCTTTCCAAATGGAGAATGGAAGGAAGAAATGAAAATGGAAAGGAGGGGGAGAGAGGGAGGGAAAAGAGGAGAGAAGACAGAGGGAGGGAGGGAGGGAGGGAGGAAGGGAGGGAGCGAGCGAGGGAGGGAAGCAGCTTTGGTACCCAGCTTTTGTGTGAGGCTGGAGCTCTTATGTGGAACACCAGGAGAGCCGGAGGACCAAGAACCAAACTCCACTGCTTCCAGACATCAGGCACAGAGGTAACCGGAACTCTGGGTAAATTCCTACTGTTCCTGGGGAAACTGAGGTCCCCTTTGGGTTCTTAGTGCCCTTAATAAACTATGGAGTCTTCAAATGCTCTCAGGAGGCAGCTTGAAAATAATTTCACTAGGGTTTGAGAGAAAAACAACAGGGTCGATCTTGGCAGCTGCCTGGCCGAGGGTGACAGAGACAGGAAAAGGGGCCAGGCTTTTTGCAATGGCGGTCAGCGAACAGAAAATGGAGGAGTGAGCCTGCAGAGGAGGAGATGCCCCAGATTGTCAGGGAAAACAGGCTTAGAACCTGAACATGGTCCAGCAGAACTGCAGGGGATTAGAGACAAGGGAGGAAAGATCCCAGCAAGCCTGGGGCCGTGTGGCCCCTGACCCTTTCTATAGGACATTTGTAGAAACCCTCCTCTCCAAGTTTGCGCATGCTCTGTTGGTTAGAAGAAGTCCGGGCAGAGAGGGCTTTGCAGTGCTCATCTACGAGCTGAACTGAGCGTGCTCCGTTTGTTGTAGGAAGTCTAGGTGGCCAAGGGCTCAGTTTTCCCTTGCCAACTGGTGTCGTTCACATATTAGTCTTTATGTTTGGGTCTTCAGTGCCCATTCATTCTCCTGTTAGATCAACGCATAGCCTGTACAGACAGAAAAGCTGCAGATGTGATAGATTCTGCCATAGAGCTTGGGGAGTGAGCCCAAGGGGTTTCAACAGACAGGACCCTCAAGTAGAAGCACAGGGCTGCCTCGGGGGATTTTTAATGCTAGAAGGGATGACTCAGCGTTGTGTGTCCTCCAGCCAGTAAGCCATGCCCCAATCATCAAGCTGTGAGACTGACAAAAGCGACCAAAAAAACCTGTCTGCCCTCTGTGGCGACACAAGTCTTGGTTCAGCTTTTAATGGCTTTCGTTGTTCTGTGGGGATGATGACGGTGTTCTTTGTTTTGAATGTCAGCTTTGATGCCAGTCTCAGATAGGGCCCCAGGACAAACCATTAAACCCGACTCCATGTGTGTCGCAAGGAGGAGGAGGCTTGGTATTCTGTGGCCTGGGAGAGCTGAAGAGCTGAAGATCAAATCAGATGCCCAGGTCGCTGGTGACGGAGCATGCCCTACACATTGAAGAGCTGGCCTGAGAAAGCTCACAGCCCTTCTTTGGAAGGTCCTGATTCCGGGAAGCAAAACACGCTGATCACTGTGCATGTGCATTTCTGCCAAGACACCCTTTACAGTCCACGGAGTCTAGGAACCCAGGAAAGGCCCACTCAGTGGAAACCAGCATGCCAGAACGTTTTCGGTTTGTCAGAGATGTATGGAAAATAAATAGTCCCAGGATAATACTGCTACAAAATTAGCTGTACCTTTCCCTCTTGTTCAGTATTGAAACACGGAGGCTAAGTGTCTCTTTTCCCTCTGTAAAAGTCAAATAGTGGTAATATGCACTGAGGTATCCGGTTCTCCAGAGACAAAGTTGCC